CAGACGATCAATGCTACAAACCCACCATGGAACCCCACCCACCGCCAACACGACCAAACTTTGAGAGTATGGGTAACCGACTGTACCAAAGTGGATCTTCTAGATATGGAGATCTGATTGATTTTATGGATCCGGACCGCATTGACTTCGCTGGGCCATCGACCCTGCCGCAGCAGGAAACACGACGACACCCAGCACGAGAAAGACGAGGACGGGGATGCGGAACCGGGGGTCATTACCGGGTTCCGGGGGATCACTGATTTATCTATTTTTTTTCCTGTATTTTTTTATCCGTTTTTTTTATCTGTTTTTTTTATCTGTTATTTTAATGTAATACAGTTGGATGTAATTATTTTTTTTTTAATAAAAAGTCCATTTTGTTGATCCTGTATCCAACACGCAACGCACCGGACAAAAAAAAATAATCAATTTTTGCCCTAAAATAACACCTAGGCGCCATCTCACTTGGCTTAGGGCATGCCCTAAGCACATAGGCGCCAAGTGAGATGACGCCTCCCCTTAAAAAATGGGTGCATGCGCCAATTCAGATGGCTCCTCCTTTGGGGAGTCATCTGAAACATGGTTATTTGCGTAATTTTTTCCGAAACGCGGTTATTTGTGAATTTTTTTTAATACATGGTTATTCAAAAAAAAATCCACAATTGTAATATTATATGTGTTAGATCATTATGTATTTAATTAAAATTATAGTGGTCTAATTAATAATAAATTGTGGTAAAAAGTATAAATATCATGAAAGATAATATTATTGTGTAGATATCATAAGTCAATATCTAATTTGATGAGGAGTCAAATTAGAATATTGAAAACTAAGAAATGTTTTTTTAAAAGATATAATATGATAAATATATTTATATACTCTTTAATAAAAGAATAACTCTAAAAGTATGGTTAAATAATTTTTAAGACAATAAATAAATATATATAATGAAGATGTAGCTTTTTAGACAAAAAAACTACTTTTTAGAAGGCATAATATGGTAAATATATTTATATACTCATTTAAAAAAGATATATCTAAAAAGTATATTTTCAAGATTAAGAATATGTTTAAAAAGTATGTTTAATTAGAATAAATAGGTAGATATATTGTTTGGTGAAATATATATTTAGAAAGTATGGTTAAATAATTTTCAAAAACATTATTAAAATTAGGTAGATATATTGTATGAATAAATGTTTAATTAGAGTAGATATATTGTATTGAATATTATGAAATCTATAACTAGTTTTATGATGTTATCGACAAAAAATTACAAATTTATCGTTAGATCAATCCCCATTTTATTTAATAAAATTAAACATCATCAATGTTGTACATATGCAGTATAGAATATTATCAATTTTATCGTAGTTGAATGTAAGATAGAATGTTTCTTGGAAGATGTGAGCTTAAACCGCATTTTAAGGAAGTAGTTGTCAGGTTTCTCTCGTATGTGTTTGGTCAAGAATGTTGTCAAAGTGAAGAAAGGGTAAGGTGCCCGTGTTTAAAGTGTGGTTGCAAAAATATTATTATTGACCCTAGTGAAGTGAAACGTCACTTGGAGATGGTGGATTTTATGCCAAATTATTAGATTTGGACATCTAATGGGGAAAAATGTCAGAGATGAATAGAGAAGCTTCTAGCAATCAAACATGTATTGGACCAGATATAAATAAAGAATGTCTAGGGAGTCCATCACATATGTAATTCCATGAACAATTTAATCTAGTCGAGGATATGGTCAGTGACGCATTAGGGGTGAATGTGGCTTATGATGAACTTCAAGACTTTGACGCAGAAGAGCTCCCGAATGAGAAAGTGCAAAAGTTTTATCGGTTGTTAAAAGAAATAAATATACTATTATTTGTGGGATCTTCAGACTCTAGGCTATCAATGCGTGTGAGGCTTTTGACTGCGAAGTCAAATTGGAATGTTCCTGATCAATGTTTGGAATTCTTTGTGAGAATGGTGTTGGACACAACTCATGTTAAAGAAAACATGCCAACAAGTTATTATGATGCAAAGAGGATGCAGTCGAAGTTAGGACTAGAAGTAAAAAAGATTGATTGTTGCATTGGAGGTTGCATGTTGTTTTATGACAACGAGTTTGGTACAAATGATGGGGAATTAGAGGAATGTAAGTTTTGCAATAGTCCGAGGTATTTATTTTGCAGTAAAGGAGTTGATCAAAAGCAAAAAAGATTTGAAGTAAAGTCCATGTTCTATCTGTCAGTAATACCTAGGTTGCAAAGAATGCTTGCATCAATGCACAACACAAGCCAAATGACATGGCACCATACGAACAGAATAAGTCCAGACATGATGCGGCATTCATCTGATGGCGAGGCATGTAAACACTTTGATAGATTTCGTCCTGAATTTACAGCAGAACCCGAGAATGTCATACTTGGATTATGTTCGGATGGTTTCACTCCTTATAATTTGTTTGCAAATGCATATTTTTGTTGGCCAGTTATTGTTACCTCGTACGATCTCCCTCCTGAGATGTGTATGACGAAACCTTACATGTTTTTGACATGTATCATTCCAGGGACGTCGAGTCCAAAGACAGGAATAGATGTTTATTTGCAACCTTTAATTGATGATATCAAGAGGTTGTGGGTGGGAGATTTGACTTATGATGTGTCTCGTAATAACAAAACTTTAATATTCAAGTTGCTTTGATGTGGACAATTAACGACTTTCCTGCATATGGCATGTTGTGTGGATGGGGTACGCATGGCAAAATGTGATGTCCGCATTGCATGGATCACATAAAAGTGTTTACTTGGGATAAGGGTGGGAAAAGTTTGTGGTTTGACTGTCACCGTAGGTTCTTACCTACAATCCATGAATTTAGAAGAAATAAGAATGCTTTTAGAAAAGGAAAAAAAAGTAACTGATCTACCTCCCCCTCAATTGTTATCGACTGAAGTATGGAATAGTGTTCGTGACCTATCAAAATTCACAGATAATGGTGAAGCACGCAGAATTCAAGGATATGGGGATTCTCACAATTGGACAAAAAGAAGTATTTTTTGGGACCTCTCATATTGGAAGGATAATTTGTTATGACATAATCTTGACCTCCAATATTTTTTTACTTATTTAATTAGCGTGAAGAGTTGGGTAGAACTCCACTTCTTAATGAGCTTCATCTAGAGACTCATCTCAAGAGAAATAGAGAGTTTGTTGACGAGCGTGCAAGAAACACTCAAGTAAATTTTTGTTATATTAAAAACAAATTATTTATTTCTTTTATATGGACCTAGCTTATTTGAATTATTATAACACTTAATTTTTTTTTGTATGAGGAGTTTGATAGACAACTTTCCCTGCAGTTGTCAAAGCATCCTGAACTTGAACCACTACCGGCATATTCTATTGATCCTGTATTGGATTTTCGGGCATGATATGATGTTTCAGGTGGAAAGAAGAAAAATAGAAGAATGTATGGTGCTGGAGGGTACACTAAAACTATCATGCAACGTGATAGGAGTTTTAGAATGAGACTTATTGATGGAGAAGGAACATCAACTCCACCTATGCTGACCGCCGAAATGCTTGAAACTGTGACAAACTTGGCGAATACTGAGACAATACTCCACGTAGCAGCAAGAAATGCAGAAATTGAATAGATGAAGAAAAAAATTAGAGATGCAACAAGAAATGCAGAGAAGAGAAGCAGAGTTACAGGAAGAAATGAGGAGGCAAACAAAAGAGTATCAAGAAGCAATGTGAATTGCAAATGAACGGGTTCAAAGATTTGATTAATTTTTTACTTCACAAAATTCCGGTGGTGAATTTGGAGGAACTAATGGATATGGAGGAATTGTTGAAGAAGAAGAGCAAGAAGAAGAACAAGATGAACAAGAATAGGATGTTTAAATTTGAAAATTTAATGTTTATTTTAATTTGTATGAAAGAATTTATGTTATTTTGAACTTAAGAACTAATTTGCATGAAGTTTTATTTTAATTTTTATTATGTTTGATTGAATTTCAATTATTATATTTATTATGTTTAATTATATTTATTATATTAATTTTATTATAATAATATAATTAATAGAATTATTATTATTGGTTTTTATTCTATTAATATTAAATTTTTTATAAATATTTTTACGATTTGTCAGGGGATAAACTTCTAGGAAATTGTCAACGTTTGTATTTTGCAAGGGTTTAACCTATCGTAAATGGAAAAGCATTTACATTTTTCCAGGGGCTTAACACCAAGCAAAAATTTGGATGCACTGTTGACCACCTAGCATGCGTCTACGTCTACGTGCTGCAGAATATAAAAATCATATTGCATTTTGCGAGGGGTAAAGCCCCTGAAAAAATGCCAACGTGTAAAGCCCCTCGCAAATAAATTTACGACCCCTGTTTTGTTAGGGGATCAGTCCCCTCGCAAATTTTGTATTTGTGAAGAGTTTTTGTCATTTGTGAGGGGTTAAACCCCTGACAAGTAAAGTTTTTTATTGTAGTATATATATATATATATATATATATATATATATATATATATATATATATATATATATATATATATATATATATATATATATATATATATATATATTGCTTTGGAGTTTAGCAATTAAGCAGCAAGGGGGTGTAGAAGTTAATGGGCTTAGGCCCGTTGCATGTTTGGGAGGAAGTCTGAGAGATTGGGTGTGGCGCGAGAGTATGGATTATCATGCAGACTTGGCCTTAAGGCCGTCTGATGCGCATCGGAGGGACAAAAGCGAGGGAGTATGATAACTAATATGGACACAGTGTACAGGATCAGAACGGATAACAACTTTGTTTTAATATTCATTTCATTTTCTCAGTTTGCTTAGAGTAGCTTCCTCTCTCTCTCTCTCTCTCGCATGAACAACAGACCCTTTCTCTCTTCCTTACAAACCCTAAGTCTCAACCCTCCCACCACTGGCGGCGCTCTACCCTGAATAAAACCCCTACCCTTAAACAACAACAAAAAGCTAAGAACTTTACCCCTTTCGCGATGTCGTTTTGTTCTCCAACTTCGAATGTCCGGTTAACCCTTCTTCTCCCTTTCGCTTGCAGGACAGGGTGGTATCCGGTAGTGATGAAGGCGCGGCGGGGAGGTTCTCAGTGGTGATTAGGGTTTCAGATATTGAAACCCTAATCACGTCTTCTTCAATCTTCACCACAAAGGCTTCGTGTTCTTCGAGTTCTTCTCTGGATTCTAGTCTGCCCTTTCTTCTGTATTCGACCCCCATCTCTGTATTCATGATCCATAAGATTTCATGTCTTTTGAGGATTTTAACATTTAAAAAAGAGAGAAAGAACATATAAGAGGGAAATAAGAAATACTTGACAAAATTACACGAACATAACAATCCCAAAAGCAAAAGCCATTGCAAAAGTAATTGGTATCTCTATCAGTGCTTTATAGAGAATGATTATAAGCTCATAGTAAAGTTGAATTAGTTTACAGTTACATTCAGTTTTTGTATCTAATCTCTAAGATGAAAGAAAAAATGATATTGCGTTCCTCTATATGCAGACACAAAAAATTTACTTTACAATGTAAAGGTTACCAATATTTCATTTGTTCGTAATGTCATGTGCAATCAAATGAAAATAGACGTGGATTTGAAGCTGACAGCCACTTGCAGAAAGAGTTTTACTTGCAGAAAACTTGTTATGTTGAACCTGTTTTTGATTTTCTTTTATATCAGAAACCTTGACTGAAGGAAAATGAATATATCCATTTAAGTAACTGTTTATTTCTGCAGGTAAAGGGATATCTCCATGATGCAACCTAAAAAACAAAGATTGATAAATTGATAAGTATTATTACCATCTTAGCCCATTGTATCAAAAGTTCATTTGTCAATAAATCTAAAACTCAATTCATAACATTAGTTATGAGAATACTCAATAAAAGAAAGTTACATAATTTTATTCCTTCTGGACCATTTATGAAAATTGATACCTTGCATTTTCTGTTGCATAATAAAAATCATACTTTGCTGACTTGAATGAAGAAATTAGATATATTCATATATGACTTGCTGATTGTGCACTAAATGAATGACAAAATTGTGGCATGTCTATTGTTTATAATGTACCAAGTGAAAATAGAAAATATCTTACAAAAGCTTTGAAAGCAGGGTGTTGAGTAGCCATCTCATGTATACAACACCCTTTACAAAAAAGAAATATTTGAACTGCAGCAAAACAATTATCAGATAGTCATAAAACATTAAAAAAATTACCTAGTGACCAAATATCATATTTGAATCCGTAAGGAATATCGGCAAACAGTTCATGGCACATATAGTTGGGAGTTCCTACGACCTGCAAACAAATATTTACAACACTTAAATTTGCATACATCTATCTTCTGTTGAAAATATTAAACTTGATTTGGGTCTAAATTTATTAATTGGTTTTTTGGACTTAGTTATTTTGGGCTTAAGTAGTTTTCTAGAGAATTCTTGTAATATATGAAATCTGTAGATATTTCTTATAATTGTAATATTTTCTAGAATGGTCTTTGGATCTCTAGAGTTGATAACTCTCTAGAATTAGTGTGTCTAGAGTTCTCCTTAGAGTACTATAAATAGAGATGTAATCCCACACATTTGCATTAAGCAAAAATACAAATTTCTTCTCCTCCATAAAGAATTATCCTACTTATCAAATTTATATTCAAACCTTCAATATTCCCACACACTTCTCTTTAACATAAAAGGTCTTATTTCCAACAAAGTGGTATCAGAGCTTCAAGATCCACAAAATGGCGAATGGTGGTTTCCCTTTCCAAATGCCGATGCTCACAAAGAACAACTATGATAATTGGAGTATCAAGATGAAGGCGCTACTAGGAGCTCAAGATGTGTGGGATATTGTTGAGAAAGGCTTCAAGGATCAAGATGAATCCTCGCTAAGTCAAGGTGTAAGAGAGATATTGAAGGAGTAAAAAAAGAGAGACAAGAAAGCTCTCTTTCTCATTTATCAATCGGTGGATGAAGATATGTTTGAGAAGATATCCAACGCAACAACGACCAAAGAAGAATGAGACAAGCTTCAAACTTGCAACAAAGGAGTTAAGCATGTAAAAAAGATTTGTCTTCAAACTCTTAGAGGTGACTTTGAACGTTTATTTATGGAGGAGTCCGAGTCAATTTCAGATTATTTTTCTCGAGTATTGACTGTAGTCAATCAACTTAAGAGAAATGGTGAAGATGCTGATGATGTGAAAGTCGTGGAGAAAATACTTCGCACTTTAAATCCAAGTTTTAACTTCATTGTTACCAACATTGAAGAAAATAAGGATCTAAAGACCATGACTATTGAGCAACTCATGTGTTCCTTACAAGCATACGAAGAAAAACAAAAGAGAAAAATTAAACAAAAGGAGGCTATGGAGCAATTACTATAACTCAACATAAAGGAAGAAAACTATGCGAATTACAAGAGCCAAAGAGGACGAGGTCGTGGCCAATATCGTGGACGTGAACGAGGACATGGAGGAGAAGGAAGAGGTGGTTGCAATAACTACTCCAACAACTTCAACAATGGAGAAAGAAGTTGGAATCCACAAGCAACAAGAGGTCGTGGAAGAGGAACCTCATGGTCGAGGAGCAATAAATCACAAGTCAAATGTTTCAACTGCAACAAGATTGGTCATTACGCAACCGAGTGTAGATTCTCGAAGAAGGTGGAAGAGAAAGCTAATTTTGTAGAATAAAAAGGTGGAGAAGAAGAAACTTTGCTACTCGCTTGTCAAAATGAAGTTGAAGAGAAAAGAAATAAGTGGTACTTGGACACTGGCGCAAGCAACCACATGTGTGGCGATCGAAGCATGTTCGTAGAGATCAATGAAGCGACAACTGGTGATGTATCATTTGGAGATGACTCAAAGATACCGGTCAAAGGCAAAGGTAAAATTCTCATACGCTTGAAGAATGTGAGTCATCAATTCATATCCAATGTCTATTATGTGCCTAACATGAAGAATAATATTGAGTTTGGGACAATTATTAGAGAAAGGCTATGACATCCACTTAAAAGAACATAGTCTTTTCTTAAGAGATTGTAGTCATAACTTGATTGCTAAGGTGCCTATGTCAAACAATAGAATGTTCCTCTTGAACATTCAAAATGACGTAGCAAAGTGTCTCAAGGCTTGCTATATCGATTCTTCATAGCTATGGCATCTACGATTCGGGCACCTCAACTTAGACGGTCTAGAACGTTTGTCGAAGAAAGAGATGGTGAGAGGCTTGCCTAGGATCAACCACCCAGACCAACTCTGTGAAGTATGTCTAATTGGGAAGCAATTCCAAAATTTTTTTCCAAAGGAATCAACGTCAAGAGCGACAAAGCCACTAGAGCTCATACACACGGATGTCTGTGGACCAATCAAACCCAACTCGTTTAGTAAGAATAAATACTTTCTCCTCTTTATTGATGATTATTCCATAAAAATATGGGTTTATTTCTTGAAAGAGAAGTTAGAAGTATTTGACAACTTTAAGAAGTTCAAAGCCCTTGTGGAGAAAGAAAGTGGTCTTTCCATCAAGGCCATGAGATCTGACTGAGGAGGAGAGTTCACTTCAAATGAGTACAACAAATATTGTGAAGACCATGGAATCCGTTGCCCACTGACTGTGCCAAGATCGCCTTAACAAAATGGAATAGCAGAGAGAAAGAATCAGACTATACTTAACATGGTACGAAGCATGCTCAAGAGCAAGAAGATGCTGAAGGAGTTTTGGGCCGAAGCAGTGGCATGTGCAGTTTACTTGACAAATCGTTCCCCAACAAGAAGTGTGCATGAAAAGACACCCCAAGAAGCATGGAGTGGAAGGAAACCTGAGATCTCTCACCTCAAAGTATTTGGAAGCATTGCCTATACCCATGTTCCAGATGAAAGAAGAACAAAGCTCGATGATAAAAGTGAGAAGTATGTGTTTGTGGGTTATGACTCAAGCTCTAAAGGGTACAAGCTTTATAACCCAAATAGTGGAAAGATCATCATAAGTCGTGATTTGGAGTTTGACGAAAAAGATTATTGGGATTGGAGTGCTCAAGAAGACAAGTATGATTTTCTTCCTTACTTTGAATAAGAAGAAGAAGAAGAAGAAGAAGAAATGGAACAACCAATGATAGAGGAACATATTACACCACCTTCCTCACCGACACCAAGGTTGGATGAAACAAGTTCAAGTGAGAAGACACCACGACTAAGGAGCATTGAAGAGCTTTATGAGGTAACCGAAAACCAAAATGACATTAACCTCTTTTGTCTTTTTGGTGATTGTGAGCCTCTAAGCTATCAAGAAGCGGTAGAAAACATAAAGTGGAGAGACGCCATGGACGAAGAAATCAAGTCTATCACGAAGAATGATACATGGGAACTTACTACACTTCCACAAGGACATAAAGCAATTGGAGTAAGATGGGTGTACAAGGAAAAGAAGAATGCAAAAGGAGATGTGGAGAGATACAAAGCAAGATTGGTGGTGAAAGGCTATAGTCAAAGACAAGGAATTGACTATGATGAGGTATTTTCTCCTGTTGCTCATCTTGAAACTATTAGACTGATCATTTCCTTGGCAGCCCAAAATGAATGGAAGATCTATCAAATGGATGTGAAATCATCCTTCTTGAATGGTTTTCTCTAAGAAGAAGTTTATATTGAGAAACCACTAGGCTATAAAGTAAAAGGGCAAGAAGAAAAAGTCTTGAAGTTGAAGAAGGCATTGTACGGTCTCGAGCAAGCACCAAGAGCTTGGAATGTTCGACTTGACAAGTACTTTCAAGATAAGAACTTCATCAAGTGCCCATATGAGCGTGTGCTCTATATCAAAGCACAAAGTGGAGATATTTTAATTGTGTGCTTGTATGTAGATGACTTGATTTTCACAGGGAACAATCCAAGCATGTTCGAAGAGTTCAAGAAAGACATGTCAAATGAATTTGAGATGACAGATATGGGGTTCATGGCATATTATCTTGGCATCAAAGTAAAGCAAGAAGACAAAGGAATTTTCATCACCCAAGAAGGCTATGCCAAAGAAGTCATTAAGAAGTTCAAGATGAATGATGCCAATCCAGTTGGCACCCCAATGGAATGTGGTAGCAAGTTAAGCAAGCATGAAAACGGGGAGAATGTGGATCCAACTCTTTACAAAAGTTTGGTTGGAAGTCTACGTTACTTAACAAGTACAAGGCCAAATATTCTCTATGCTGTAGGAGTTGTAAGCCGATACATGGAAGCTCTAACAATAACTCACTTCAAGGCGGAAAAGAGAATCCTTAGATACATTAAAGGTAC